ATGGCCATGACACATGGGGCCAGGTAAAAATTGCCTACTTTTAACTCTTTTTAACACTAAGATGTGTATACAACATCCTCCCCTGGTTACATGAGCCATCCGGCCCCTGTTCACCTAGACCGAAAAATAGTAGGTACTGTGTAATGGATTCCTTTTTGCCACTTTTGTAGTACAGAAAAATAACCCCCGTATCCATGGGGATACGTTGCACGCCCTACTGCAGATAGCCTGATACCACTGACAGATCGAAACCCTATATACAGTAGTCCCCCGATAATTCGCAGGGGATGTGTCCAAGACATACCTTGGATACCCAAAACCACAGAAATGAACCCTATATACAAGTCGTTTTTCGTTTACATACCTACCCATGATAAAGTTTAATTGATAAATTATTCACATTAAGTGGAAAATCATCACTTTTTCAGTGATGGGGAAGCACTCAAATGGCTGTATCTTGGCATTATAGACCTACCAGTCGCATCACACTTTTGCACTTTGGTGTCATTATTAAGTAAAATTAAGGCTTATTTTTGGGCACGGTAAACATAGATACAACAGTTCTACTGTATATAAGCTGTTTTTGTTTACACACCATATTTTGTGGCTTATTAGACACTTTTTTTTTCCATAAAATGTCTCCAAGAACACCCTGTGTCCTATAAACTGAAATGTCAGTTTAGGGAGCTATAAGTTTGGGTGGGTGGTGTAGCACCTCCCAGTTCGTCTGATGCTGAGCCACTGAAACTAAGTAAGTCCTTATAAGCTGCAAAATACGGTACATACCTTTTGAATAAAGTTTAATTGATAAATTAAGCACTATAAATGGAGAGTTAGCAATTTTTTCACTGAGGGGGAAACACTTCATGCTTTCACTTAAGGGTTTAAAATAACTGTCACCAATACTAGTGTGCTTTTGTGTCATTAGTAAAGGCAAAAGTAAGGGTTAATTTTAAGCTATGGCAAACCTTGGATAACTGAAACTTTGGAAACTGGACCCACGGATATGAGGGTCTTACTGTATTTACCACTAAAAGAAAATATTGCTTCCTTCATGAGACTGAAATTGAAAGCCAGTAATTTTCTAAGAATTTGCATATGTCTGATTGACGCATTTTCATAGTATTCTTAATAAAAATTTCCATGCCCATGTGATAATCTTAATAGTCCTTCTTCCCCTCAGAATTTGAACGTGTTCCATATACAGTGGACCCCCGGTTATCGGCTGCAATCCGTTCCTGAAGGTCGGCTGATAACCGAAATGGCTGATAACCGAATTAATGTTTCCCATAACAATTAATGAAAATAAAATTAATTCGTTCCCAACAAAAATATTAAAAAAAAAAAATATTTTTTTTACAATTATGTAAGTATTACATATCTTTATTGAAGGCTAATACTGGCTACTGGAAGACAGGAAGGAGGAAAGAGGGAGGAGTTAGTGTTTGGAAGGGTAATCCCCCTCCATAAAGACTTTAGGTAGTAGGGCCTTCTGTGATACTTCCCTTCTCTGTCTTTTAATACCACTAGAACCAGCTTGAGAGTCACTGGACCCCTGTCTCACAAAATAACTGCCCAGAGTGCTCTGTTTCTTGCATCTCTTGAAGATTTCCCTGAAGTGGGACAGGGTTTTGTCACTAAACATGTTGCAGATATGGCTTGTTTCAGCTTTGTCAGGTTGGTGTTTCTCTACAAAAGCTTGCACCCTGGTCCACACTGCACACACCTCTTCAATCTCTGAAGAAGGCACTTCCTTCACTCCCTCTTCCTCGTCCTCTGAAGCAAGTTCCTCAGTTGCAGTCTGTTGCTGTTTAAGTTGAAGCTCTTGCAGCTCTTCATTGGTAAGCTCTTCCCTGTGGTCCTCCACCAACTCTTCCACATCCTCACCACTCACCTCCAACCCCAGGGACTTCCCCAAAAACACAATAGAGTCCACAGGGTCGGCAGGGTCAGGGTCATGGTGAGTCTCAAACCCTTCAAAATCCCTCACGTGGACACAATCTGGCCACAGTTTTCTCCAAGCAGAGTTCAAAGTCCTGGAAGTCACTCCCTCTCAAGCCTTACCTATAAGGCTTATGCAATGGAGGATAGTGAAGTGATTCCTCCAGAACTCTTAGGGTCAACCGAGTGTCCAAGGTCACTTCAAAGCACTTTTGAAACACTGCTTTTGTGTAGTTTTTTTTTGCAGTAAGAAATGAACTGCTGGTCCATGGGCTGGAGGAGAGGAGTGGTGTTAGGAGGCAAGAACTTCACTTTTATAAAACTAAAATCTCTAAACACTTGGTCTTTCAAGTCTGGAGGATGTGTAGGAGCATTGTCCAGCACCAGGAGGCACTTCAGTGGTAATTTCTTTTCCAGGAAGTATTTTTACACACTTGGGCCAAACACATCATTAGCTCACTCTGAAAATTTGCCTTGTGACCCATGCCTTATGATTAGCTTTCCACATCACACAATCTATTCTTCATGACATTGCTTTTCTTAAACACACTGGGATTTTCTGAGTGATACACAAGTAAAGGCTTCACTTTAAAATCACCACTAGCATTACCACACAACAAAAGAGTAAGCCTGTCTTTCATATTATTGTGTCCTGGCAGTGCCTTTTCCTCCTGGGTAATGTAGGTCCTCTTTGGCATTTTCTTCCAAAACAGGCCTGTTTCGTCACAATTGAAACCTTGTTGGGGTTTGAATCCTTCAGCCTTTACATAGTCCTGGAATTCATGAACATACTGTTCAGCTGCATATTTGTCAGAACTTGCAGCCTCACCATGCCTTACAACACTGTGTATGCCACTACGTTTCTTAAATCTATCAAACCATCCTTTGCTGGCTCTAAATTCACAAACTGCAGCACTTGTTCCAGGCATTTTCTTTGCAAGATCCTCATGCAACTGCTTTGCCTTCTCACAAATAGTAGACTCCACAACACTCTCTCCCACTAATTCTTTTTCCTTAATCCAATAATAATAACTTTTCCATCTCTTCCATTATCAGTGTCCTTTGTTTAGTTAAAAAAGCTACTCCTTTTGCAACATTAGCATCTTTGATTTGTTCTTTCTTTGCCAGGATGGATGTAATTGTTGATTTATTCTTGCTGTACATCCTGGCAAGTTCCATCACCTTCATACCACTCTCAAACTTTTCAATCACTTCACACTTAAATTCTATGGTGTTTCTCACTTTCATTACCACAGGAACTTTACTAGGAACTTTCTTTGGAGCCATGGTTACTTATTTCACAGTTGCACTGCAAGAAAAACCACTAAAAACAATGGTAAACAAGTGAAATGCTTGGATGTATGAGCAGAAGCCTCCTCAGCCACCGAGAGACAAAGCCAAATTGAAGCGCAAGCTGCCCCAGCAGGCGGATGGATGCGTCCAAAACCGCCGATAACTGAGTGAACGACCGATAACCGGGCACCGAAAAACCCGCTGAAAACCAAGTTGGCCAATAACCAAACCGGCCGATAACCGGGGGTCCACTGTACAAAGTAGCCTTTTCGTGATTTTTGTTTTAATATAATTTTAGCCATATGTGAGGTGGGCACTTAGAGCTGTGACTTATATACAATATTATGCAGTGATCCATGAGAATGTTATGTATAGTATAATGCCATTATATATGTGCTTGGCTCCTAGATTTGTGGCTCTTTTATGGCATTATACCTGATATGAGATGTACTTCTGGAACAATAACCTCCCTTATTACAACCCTATGAATATACATTTTCATTTATTTATTTATTTATTTTATTTATTTACAATTTGAGCAAAATAACATGAAAATTTAAACTTTTCATATTTGACTAAGTCACTGTAGAAACTATTTTACATTTTATTAACACTTCAGCCATTTCCCACCAAGGAAGGGTGACAAAGAGAAGAAACACTTGTGTCATCAGTCCCTCCATCACTGTCTTGCCAGAGGCATGCCTACACTACAGTTAAAACACTGCAGCATATCAACACCCACCCTTCAGAGTGCAGGAATTGTACTTCCCACCTTCAGGACTCTGGTCCGACTAACTGGTTTCCCTGAATCCCTTCATAAATGTTACTTTGCTCACACTTCAACAGTATGTCAAGTTATAAAAACTATTCATTAACACTTAGGCCTGATTTTTAGAAGTCCAAAAAAGATAATTTGTTTCTAACAGTGCACTTAATGGGTGCAACAAGGCACAAAAAAGCTGACACATCCCCCCCCCATGTCCAACTCAACCTGTGTGAAAATTCAACGTTCGTAAAAGGCCTTAAGATCTGGAACTCCGTCTGAAGCATTGAAAGGTTCCCTATCTGCCAACCATTTCAAAGCTGTTGTTAAAAAACACCATCTTAGCATAATTGAGACAGCAATCTGTTATGTCTAACAAAACCAGCTTTCATCCAGTTCTGCCCCTCATCTTCCTTCAACACCCATACATAATTGATAACATATATTGTCCCATTTAATTATATTGTAATCTAAAGTACCTTACTGTATCTTCAACATTTCTATGTTCAGTCAGATAAAACTAAGGATCTTTGAATTAGTACTATGAAATAATATGTCTCTTTTGTGATAGACTATTTGCCATTAACTGTCTTATTGTAGTTAATTGCATAAGAATTCTTATTTAATATTATGTATATTAATTAACATGGCTTACAATTAGCTGGTCAAAATGCATTACATAATTTGTGGCCATCTTTTGTGCCTACCATTATATTAATTCATGTAAATTACATTACAGTGGAACCTCAAAAATCGAACTGCTCCCAACACAACCAATTATGTAAGTGTATTTTTGTAAGTGCTTTTATAAGTGTATTTTTGAGGGTCTGAAATGGACTAATCTAATTTACATTATTCCTGATGGGAATAAATTCATTCGGTAAAGGCACTCGAACAGCCTTCTGGACCGAAGAAAGTTCGATATTTGAGGTTCCACTGTATATGGTTTAAATAAAAAAAGTATTTGTCAAAAATACTAAATATGTTTTTTTTGTGTTGCCAGAATAATAGTGGATATTGTTTGTTGCTGTATCAACATGTGAGGACCAAGACTGTTTCAACCAAAAATACTGCTGGAACAAGTGTAGAGGTCTTTAAGAGGAAATTAGACAAGTATCTTCACCAGGTGCTGGATTAACCAGGCTGTGATGGAGTGGGTCAGTGGACCACCAGCAGTATCATCCTGTTGTAGATGAATGGTTCAGAGAACCGACATGTTGTTGAATTAGACACATGTGCAACTCTTGGGTATCTTTGTTGAGGAAACGTTTTGCCACACAGTGGCTTCATCAGTCCATACAAAGGAGAAACTTGAAGAACAGGAGGAGAATGAGGTAATCAGTCCCTCAGCCTTGAGTCGATGTGGTCAGTCCATCAATCTTGAATAGAATATGGTATATGAGCGGAGAAGCAGCTTATAAACCGTAGACAGGTGAGGGGCAGCAGTCGTAGGTGGTGTCACATTTGTCCAATGTGGAAGTAGGTCGTGCCCAAGGGTTAGGCAAGTGAAGAATTCCCAAGTATTAAGATCCCAAGAAGTTGCAGTGTCTGACAGGATTGTAGATGAATGGTTCAGAGAACCGACATGATGTTGAATTAGAGTTGCACGTGTCTAATTCAACAACATGTCAGTTCTCTGAACCATTCATCTACAATCCTGTCAGACACTGCAACTTCTTGGGATCTTAATACTTGGGAATTCTTCACTTGCCTAACCCTTGGGCACGACCTACTTCCACATTGGACAAGTGTGACACCAGCTACGACTGCTGCCCCTCACCTGTCTATGGTTTATATGCTGCTTCTCCGCTCATATACCGTATTCTATTCAAGATTGATGGACTGACCACATCGACTCAAGGCTGAGGGACTGATTACCTCATTCTCCTCCTGTTCTTCAAGTTTCTCCTTTGTATGGACTGATGAAGCCACTGTGTGGCGAAACGTTTCCTCAATAAAGATACCCAAAAGTTGCACATGTGTCTAATTCAACAGTATCATCCTGGCAGAGCAGGCAAGCACCAGATGAGCCTGACCCCTGGCTGGGCTCTGGCAGTAGAAAAACACTCGGAACTCATCAGAGGTTAAGGTTAGTTTGTCAATAGTGTGTGCGAGGAGTTAATAATAATAATAATAATAATATATTTTATTTTGATAAGATACATGTATGAAGGAAGGGGCAAAACTTGTTCAACAAGACAGTCATGTAAGAAGCCAAGTTGATACATGTATGTACAAACACCTTTATATGCAGAGCATTTCTGGCAAACTTAAAATTAACTTAAGATTAATAAGGCAGTAACAGTACATATGGTCATTAGATGAGTTACAATGAATACAAGAGACTTGAGTATTGTATTAAGTCATGCTATATGACTTTAATGAGTCTTGTAGAGAAGACATACTTTTTTATTATTAACCTTAGGCAGATACAATGGAGTGATTAATGTTTAACATAAGAACATAAGAAAGGAGGAACACTGCAGCAGGCCTGTTGGCCCATACTAGGCAGGTCCTTTACAATCCATCCCACTTAACAAAACATTTGCCCAACCCAGTTTTCAATGCCACCCAAGAAATAAGCTCTCATAACTCTACCCACTCATATGCAAGTCACACTCAAATCCAACCCCTCTCACTCATGTATTTATTCAACTTAAATTTGAAACTACCCAAGGTTTTAGCCTCAGTAACCCAACAAGGTAGACTGTTCCACTCATCAACTACCCTATTTCCAAACCAGTACTTT